CATATTTCAAAACTTGTATTTTAGGGGCTTAATGTGCACTGTTGACGATGACATTTCATAGTTTACTGTTGCTAGTCTTGTGTAAAGTAGAAAGACAAGTACGTCTGAGACATGTAATGATCCCTTTTAACAGAAATGGGTGTATATAATAATTACGACTTATTCAGCCCATAATTTATTCTACAGATAATCAGATAATTGTACTAAATAATTGGAAAGAGCTTTAAAGATCAACGAATGAACTCTATATAATAAGGAAAGAGTTTAATTTTAACATAACATAACATAACCTCAAATGATTATTAAGAATAAAATGTGTCCTACAAGATAATATTTTGTGATGTATCTTACATTTTAATAATTATCTGACATATTTGAGCATGATGATAACATAAGTACTAAAATACACAAATATCAATCAAAAAGGATAATATAAGATAAAGCATAAAAGAGAAAATGAATGAGATTTCATGAAATATTAATAGTTTCTGCTCTACATTATATTAGATTAGATTAGATTAGATTCATTCCATTTATCTCACTTAATTAAGATGTGGAATGAGTCACAACATGCAAGTCATGCGTAAAGATGCAAGTCTAGTCACAGCAGACCTATATACCTGATAACAGAGAATGACAATAAAACAACACATAATGCAGGCAGAAAAATAGGTTTCTATAATTATTCATCAAGAATTTTTAAAATTATTCGTGTAACCAACAATCTCGTAATAAATTAAGGATTTATAAATTCATGAACAGAATAGAAAGTGTGACAGAAACGAATTTTTTAAAGCTAACTGAAAACTAAACACCGTGCGGACGAAGAAACCCAGAAAGACTGCAGAAGAGACTTTCAACTGAAGTGGAATTAAATTAATCAACTGATCAACCACAAAGATCGGAATGTTCTGATAATGAGGCTCAGTCAGACAGATACTTACCTCTCCGTGACAAATGTCTTTTGTGTTTCCATTGCATTTAATATTTTCTATAGAACACTTGTAATAAATTCCACATTGCAGTGGCAGATTCTATGGAAGTAGCTGGTGTAGACGGAATATATGGGGGGGGGGGGGGGGGGGGTCATGGATTAGTCAAAGTATGGGCGAATCAAGTTTCTCAGTTGCACTGGGTCATCCTATTATAATAGGACCTTCTCTGCATAATCAGTGGCGTCGAAGGAAGTGGACAAGATGTGCGACGACCCGGGGCCTCATGGCCTCATGCCTTCACTTGCATGTATCAGAGTTTTCTATCCTCTTTATATTGTATTCGTATTTCGCTTTACACATGCACGACAACAACGAAGGAGGTTTGAGAAAGTTTAGGATAAAAGTCTTTGGACAGCAAACAAGAATGGTTAAATTTCTTATATAAAATTATATTTTTGATGGTACGTAGATTGTATACTGTTCTTGTTCGGTCGCATTATCACCTTTTCTCTTGGTATATCTTAGTTTCTGGCAATTATTTGCAGGTTATATTATTTAGTGTTCTGTCTGACGACAGGTCCATATGAACAGGATCCTTCCATCCTTTTCTCGGACTGGGACCTGTTCATATACGTTCTTGGCAGATGATCCAGAAGTGGTTTGCCATTGCCTTCTTCTGTGTGTGAATGGAGTAATTGTGGGGATGCCACGGAGGAAAACCCCGTGTTGCCTAGACCACGGCCTTGACCAACACAATTCGGGCACCGCCGGGAATCGAACCCGAGACTCCAGGATTACAAGGCCAGCGTTCTAACCGCTAGACCACCGTGGCACTGTTAGGTTATATTAGTCTTTATTAACAATGACGTACTCTTCAGTGTCTAAAAATGATATTATTATTTGGGTTTATATGTTCATATTATGGGTATTAGACATTTTTTCTGAAGATGACTGGTCCTACTAAAAAATAAACTGTTTTTAAAATTACTATTACGGCCTAATCTAACTTTCTGGCCTTGGTAGACTATTTCTATTTAAACAATCAATCTCGCTCAGAGCATAGAGATCGGTTTCACCGCCACTGCGTATAAAACATATCACATTCCCTGACATTCCTTACTCACGTTCCTCACGTTCCTCGCGTTCTATCAAGCGTTCATGGCAGTGAAATTGTACAGTGAGCAGTGGCGGGCAGAATAAGGAGAGCGTGTTGCATACCTATCATGCAGCTGATGGTCAGGTTCACGGCGCTGAAGAGCCCCAGTTCTCGTTTCAGCTCCACTTTGTTCAGTACCTCTGTACTTCCGGCCGGAAACGATTCTGTACTCCTTCCAGGAAGGACTTCGGCACTGTTTCCTTCCATTGAAAAACCTCTGTTGTGGAGCCCATCTGCAAATTGTATCAGTGACTTGTGATTTACATAACTCCACCTCTTATTACAAGGGTTACTTTCCGAACTTTCGCTGAACAATGGCAAACTATTTTTCGTTCACAGAGAGTATTTATGAAACAGATTTTCGTTCTTTCAGAATAACTTCCCCCATGGAGTTAAGTCCTTCTTGAGAAGCCAAATAGTACGCTGAGCTAGTCAAAAGATTCCCTGACTTTTATTGAAAACGATATTTGTTTAAATCTTGTCAGTCTAATCACAATAAAATTCCTATTAAATATTAAAATATTACCATAATTAACATTTAA